GCCTGTCACATATGACATCTAATGATGTAGCACCAGCTGCTCACAAATACAAGTTCATTAGAGTATATAGACATTATGGGGCCACTAAAAATGTCTTATGTGGCTTGCTGCCAGCATTTTCAGCAGTCTCTCACCAGCAGCCACTCTCTGTTTGCCCTAGCCAAGCTCAGTGACACGGGAACTCCTGTGAGCTCTGTTGTCTTGTGTAGAGAATGGGGATAACTGTAGAGTGTGAAGGCCTGGGGAGAAAAACTTGGGCTGTGTTTCCTAGTCACCCCAACACCTTGTGGACCCAGGAAGTAGCATTTCCAGAGACAAATTGCTATATGGCTTTCTGCATGCCCATTGCTTTTGTCTTGCTGTTGTCGCAGGAAACATCTAGTGTACATCCAGTGTACCCAGGGCCTTTTGGAAAACACCCATCGGCCTCAGTACTCTTTTCCCTCAGACTGGCAGACAATGAAGAAGGAGGAGAGAGAGCTACGCATTGGAGGAGGAAGTAAAGCTGGAGGCTGGGGTAGTGGCAAGATATGAGCATTTGGGTCTACAAGGCTCCAAGTCTCTCATTACTTCACTCCATCAGACCAGGACAATCATGGGGGTTTGGCAGGAGTGGTGTTGCAGGGAGTTTAGGCCTAAGGGAGTGTATGTGTGAGGCATAAAGTAACAAGGCATGGACTTTGTTACCTGAGGTGATGAGGGTGACAGGCCCACATGGGTAAATCAGGAAACACAGGCAACACGTTCTAAGGCTGCATATCAGAGACTCACGGAGTGGAAATCCCTTGGATGAGGGCAGAGCAGCAGCCCAGACCACCAGATAGCCACTGTGGAAGTCATCCCCTCATCACTTTTTCATTCCCAAGACTCAGCTCTTCTTTGACTCTGTTACTTTGTGGGCATCTCCTGTTGCAGTGTCTGGGCAATTTCTCTTAGTTGTTACAATTTGCATTCAAGAGCATGACTTGTTCAAGGCCCACTCTATTGATCTCTGAAAAAATGGGAGTTAGAACAGTGTTCAAGCATTCAGATAAACCTACCTTCCAATCATAGTTTTGCTTCTTACTAGCTGTCCCACCTTAGGCAGGTAAGTTAACTTATCTGAATGTCAGTTTTCCCGCTTGTAAAATGCAGTTGGTATTAGTACTTAATTTAAAGCTTTGTTATGAGGATTAAATGAGATAATGCAAGTCCAGCCTATAGTTGACTTTGGCTTAAGCAGCAGTTTTTGGAACAATCTATTCTGGCCAAGATCATATGGTCTCAGGACACAAGGTTGGCCACAAAACCAACCCAGTAACTTACGAAGCAGAAACTACCTGTGGTAACTTTTCTCAGAAGGTGGCTATGTAAACTGGCCTCATTTGGTTGAAGGAAGTTGGGGGGTGGATAGGTGGAGAGAATAAAAGAGAAGAGAAGAGTTAAATGAGTGTCAATGTCTCCTAATAATTAAAAGCTTAGAATCCCTGGAGTCAGGCAGGCTTATGTTCAAATTCCAGCTCTGTGCTTACCATTTGTATGACCATGAATATGTTATCAAACGTCTGGACCCCAGTGTTCTCAAGTGCAAAATAGGCTAATGATATCTACTGTGTTGTGATAATTTGATGAACAATGAGTATAAAGTGCTTAGCACAGTGCCTGCTACCCAGTAAGCACATAACAAATGGGGAAGAGGATGATTGTGAGGATGGCAGACATTTTTATTGTCCTAGCATCCGGTGGTGCTGCTCTTGTTATCTAAGGAGGCAAGAAGGAGACAAGAGTGGGTTCTTGGTAAAACTGGATGCAGGTGAAAGAGATGTGTTTATCTGAGGGCCTCGTTTCTGAGCTTCACTTCTACCTCCTGACCCCTTTTGTCCTCCCACCCTGCTACCCAGTGCTTCGGTGCTGCTTAAAGCACTTTGTTCCAAACTCCTTAGGGATGGTTTGCCCCTCCCCTTCCCATAATGACTCAAAACTTCTGTTCATTCTGTTCAGCTTTGCCACAGCCAGGTTTTGGTGAGAAGGACCACACAGCTCCCTTTGACCTTTAAGGCCACTGGAGGTATTTCTTTTTAACTCCACCAAATTGGAAATTAGTGGAGCAATAAGCAATAGAGGATGGAGGGCACTTTGAGCACAGAGACTTCCATATTGCTGGATCAGTAGGGAAGGGAGAAGGAATGCATATCCCCAGCTTCCATATTGCACCACCCTCCTTTGCCTGAGAAAGTGAACCCTGATTTTAGAATCTCAGAGTAATGTTGTTCCTCAAGGAGGAAGGCAGCTCAGGACTGGTTCCCACCAAGCCAAGTGCAGTCCTAGATTCTGGCTCCCTGCCCACTGTCAGCAGGGAAAGCACCAAATCTAGTGAGAAAAAGTTTCAGCAAATGTTAAAATGACAGAAACCACCTTATCCAACCTAGACTTTTCTGCCATGGGAAAAAGATGAAACCTGGCAATCCGAGAAACTTAAAATTTTCAACACCATTTATAGATGTAAAAAGCCTCTAGTTACTTGAGTGTTGCACATTTAGATATTTGATTTTGTATGTTGATTACAAATGGAGTTGTGGCCGTGTGAACCATCATAATCATCATTATAATCATTAAATTTATGGTTCATATGGCAGTTTCTTATAGATTATTCAATTCACTTTAATCCTCTTAACCCTGTCAAGTAAGTATTACTATTAATCCTCATTTTACAGCTGAGGAAACAAGGTGGAAAAGGTGACTTACTCAAGATCTCAGAGCTAGTAACCTCGAGGTTTTGTTTTACTTTTTGGCTTTGTTTTCAATTTAGGTAATGAGCTACCAACATTAGAATGATGCATAGAAGGGTGCTGGGCCATGGTCTTTGCATCTTCCAATAAAGAATAAGAAGATACATTAATTTCCAGGAAAAGAGCTGAGGGAGAAAAAGGGGAGTATGATTTACTGATACAACTTTTAGGGAAATTTGATCAGCGTAGTATTCCAAGCTTTATTTTCATCATTTTCAAACCAAAGTTTAATCTGTTAAAATAGACATGCTTCTTTTACTCTGTGTAAACATGAAGCTCCACATATTACAAGAGGGCTTGGAATGATGGGCCTACTAATTGGTACAGAGCAACACAGTCTATTTTTTATTTAAAGATATAGATGTTTTAGGAAGGAGAGGGGATGTTAAAGATCGTATTTGGCTGTATGAAAATACAGAAGTATGAGACTGGCAGCTCTGTAGAGGGCTTTGGGTGAGAGAATACAAAGGAGAGAAAGTGAGAAAAACATTGTTGTATGAATATAAGATAAACCACCCCAGTTAAGTACAGGCTCTGGATGAAGTATTTCTATTACAAATTACAGAGTTGGGACAGAAGCAATGTAGACTGTTGATGGAGTATCTTGAGGGGAGTTTGCATACTGGATATGTAAATTATTATTGTTATATTCTTCCATCTTGGGGAATTTGTTTAACCTGTATCATTTGCATTTTTCTTATTTGCAAAATGAGACTAAAACAGTACAGTTCTTACCATATGTAATCTTTGAGAGTATTAAATGAAAAAATTATGTGGAGTGCCTACTACAGTGCTTGTCATAAAGAAGGTTGCAGTGGATGTGGCAACACTTTCCTCCATCAACCCCCACCCCCAAATTCCTTTCAGTTATGAAAATTCTGAAACACTGTAACTTTACCTGTATATTTATTGAATATCTACTTTTCCAAAAGTAGAACATGTGAAGAATTCTTGATTTTTCCTTGGAGATACCTTTGCAAGTTAGAGGAAGATATTAGTGCCTGTCTTCCTTGGTTTAGTTTTAATTCAAAAGAAAGATATGATTGAGAAGGTAGGAGAAATGACTGACTAATTCATTTAGGTATTAATAGTCCTAAAAGAGGGAACTATAAGGAAACCAGACACATAGCCTCAATTTTTTTTTTTTTTTTGAAACGGAGTCTTGCTCTGTCGCCCAGGCTGGAGTGCAGTGGCTGGATCTCAGCTCACTGCAAACTCCGGCTCCCGGGTTTACGCCATTCTCCTGCCTCAGCCTCCCAAGTAGCTGGGACTACAGGCACCTGTCACCACACTCGGCTAATTTTTTTTTTTTGTTAGAGATGGAGTCTTGCTCTGTTGCCCACGCTGGAGTGCAGTGGTGTGATGTCAGCTCACTGCCAACCTCTGCCACCTGGGTTCAAGCAATTCTCTTGCCTCATCCTCCCAAGTAGCTGGGACTACAGGTGCATGCCACCACGTCTGGCTAATTTCTTTGTATTTTTAGTAGAGAAGAGGTTTCGCCATGTTGGCCAGGCTGTTCTCGATCTCCTGACCTCAGGTGATCCGCCCGCCATGGCCTCCCAAAGTGCTGGGATTACAGGCATGAGCCACTGCACCCAGCCTTCTGTGT